TGGTGGGGTTTGAGAGTAGGATAGGAGGGAAGGAAAAGGCCACTAAAAAAGTTCAAAATAATGACAGCCTTTTGCTTGGGCTGTCCACTGGGGTAGAGTGGGAGGGTGCACGGAGCCCCCCCCCCCCCGTGTTCTTACATGTTTGGGTGAGGAGGGTATGGAACATGGTGAGGGGGGAGGGCGGCTATACAGGGGCTGCAGCGGCACTCTGTGATCCTGCTGCCGTTCCTGAAGCTCCACCAGATGCTGGGGCATGTCCGTCTGCTCACGCAGCAGCCCCAGAGTTGCATCCTGTCTCCTCTGATATTCCTGCCGCAACCTCTCATCTCGAGCATCCCTCCTGTCCTCACGTTGGTCCCTCCTGTCCTCACGTTCACTGGCATCTTTCCTGTACTTTGATACCGTGTCCTTCCACTCATTCAGATGAGGTCTTTCATTGCGGGTCGATTCCATGATTTCAGAGAACATTTTGTCTTGCGTCCATTTTTTTCGCCGCCTTATCTGAGATAGCCTTCGGGACGGAGGAGGGAGGCTTGAAAAATTTGCAGCTGCGGGAGGGAGGGAAAAAAGGGAGAGAAGTATTTAAAAAGATACATTTTACAGAACAATGCTTATACTCTTTCACGGTGAACACCACTATTCACATTACATAGCACATGTGATTTCGGTACAAGGTTGCATTTTGCATCTTAATATTGAGTGCCTGCGGCTTTGGTTTTAGAGATCACAGACGCAGGTCCGGGCAACAGAATTCGGCTTGCATGCGGCCATGGTAAGCCATTGTCTTTCGGCTTCTGCAGCCTTCATAAAGCAGCGCCCTCCTTTCCACATACCAAGCAAAGCCCGTTGAGTGCTGCGGTTTTCCTGTTAACGGGCAGCAGCAGAAACCAAACTAACCCCGCCCCCTCCAATTCTCTGGGATGATCGCTTTACCCCTCCCCCCACCACATGGCTGGTATCAGGGAAGATCCCTGCTAGCCAAACGCGAAAAGCTCAGCGCCAATGTCCCCCCCTCTCCCCGGCTTGGTTAACTGCAGGGAAGGATTTCTTTTCAGCCACAGGCAAACAGCCCAGTAGGAACGGCCACCTCTGTCCCCTTAATTAAATTCCCGTATTTCAACCAGGTTACCATGAACGATATCACTCTCCAGGCTTTGTCATGCAATGATACCAGATTTCTTGCTACTAGCATGGCGTGGTCAAGTGTCCTACCATGGAGGAGGGAATAAGGCTGCACTGCCCAGAAACCTTCTGCAAAGGCTTTTGGAGTACCTCCAGGAGAGCTTCATGGTGATGTCCCTGGAGGATTTCCGCTCCATCCCCAGACACGTTAACAGACTTTTCCAGTAGCTGTACTAGCCGTGAATGCATCCCAAGTCCTCAGGGCAAATTAATCATTAAAAAACGCTTGCTTTTAAACCATGTTTTATATTTACAAAGGTACACTCACCAGAGGTCCCTTCCATGGCTTCATGGTCTGGGATACTGCCTTGGGAGGGTACTTCATTCAGGCTGAGAAAAGGATCCTCGCTGCTGGGGAGAACGGAGTGCTGTGTGCTCTCCGCAAGCTCGTCCTCCTCCTCCTCATCTTCCCCATCCGCAGAATCCTTAGGCATGGCTGAGATTACCCCCTCCTCAGAATCCACGGTCAGAGGTGGGGTAGTGGTGGCAGCCCCCCTTAGAATTGCATGCAGCTCAGCATAGAAGCGGCATGTCTGCGGCTCTGACCCGGACCTTCCGTTTGCTTCTTTGGTTTTCTGGTAGGCTTGTCTGAGCTCCTTAACTTTCACGCAGCACTGTAGTGAGTCCCTATTGTGGCCTCTCTCCATCATGCCCTTGGAGATTTTTTTCAAATGTTTTGGCATTTCATCTTTTGGAACGTAGTTCTGCTAGCACGGAATCCTCTCCCCATATAGCGATCAGATCCAGTACCTCTCGTACGGTCCATGCTGGTGCTCTTTTTCGATTCTCGGACTGCATGGTTACCTGTGCTGATGAGCTCTGCATGGTCACCTGTGCTCTCCACGCTGGGCAAACAGGAAATGAAATTCAAAAGTTCGCGGGGTTTTTCCTGTCTATCTGGCCAGTGCATCCGAGTTCAGATTGCTGTCCAGAGCGGTCACAATGGTGCACTGTGGGATAGGTCCCGGAGGCCAATACCGTCGAATTGCGGCCACACTGACCCTAATTCGAAATGGCAATGTCGATTTCGGCGCTACTCCCCTCGTCGGGGAGGAGAACAGAGATCGATTTTAAGAGCCCTTTATATCGAAGTAAATGGCTGTGTTTTATGGACGGGTGCAGGGTTAATTCGATTTAACGCTGCTAAATTCGACCTAAACTCATAGTGTAGACCAGGCCATACATCAGTAACTGGTTAAAAAACCGAAAACAAAGGGTAGGAAGAAATGGTCAGTTTTCAGAATGGAGAGAGGTAAATAGCGGTGTCCCCCAGGGATCTGTAGTGCCGTTCAACATATTCATAAATGATCTGGCAAAAAGGTGAGGTGGCAAAATTTGCAGATGATACAAAATTACTCAAGATAGTTAAGTCCAAAGCAAACAGCAAAGAAATACAAAAGGATCTCACAAAACTGAGCAACAAAATAGCCAATGAAATTCAGTGTTGATAAATGCAAAGTAATGCACATTGGAAAACATAATCCCAACAATACATACAAAATGATGGGGTCTAAATTAGCTGTTGCCACTCAAGAAAGAGATCTTGGAGTCGTTGCGGATAGTTTCTGGAAACATCCGCGCAATGTGCAGCGGCAGTCAAAAAAGCAAACAGAATGGTAGGAACCATTGGGAAAGGATCAATAAATATCATAATGCCACAATATAAATCCATGGTTCACCCATACCTTGAATATTGTGTACAATTCTGGTTGCCCCATCTCAAAAAAGCTATATTAAAATTGGAAAAGGTACAGAGAAGGCCAACAAAATGATTAGGGATATGGGAGATGAGGATAGATTAATAAGACTGGGAGTTTTCAGCTTGGAAAAGAGACGACTAAGGGGGAATATAATAGAGATCTATAAAATCATGAATGGTGTAGAGAAAGTGAATAAGGAAGTGTTATTTACCCCTTCACATAACACAAGAATCAGTGATCAGCCAATGAAATTAATAGGCAGCAGGTTTAAAACCAACAAAAGGAAGTACTACTTCACACAACACATAGTCAACTTCTGAAACTCATTGCCTTGGGATGTTGTGAAGGCCAAAAGTATAAGTGGGTTCAAAAAAGAATTAAATAAATTCATGGTGGATAGGTCCATCAATGGCCATTAGCCAAGATGATCAGGGATGCAATCCTATATTTTGGTGTCCCAAGCTTCTAACTGCTGGAAGCTGGAAATGTATGACAAGGGATGTATCACAGGATAATTGTTCATTTCCTTCTTAAGCATCTGGCATTGGCCACTGTTGGAAGACAGGATTCTGGTTAGATGGACCATTGGTCTGACCCAGTATGGCTGTTCTTATGTTCTTATTGTAGCTTGCAGAAATTACTAACAATTTGAGGAGGAAGTACATAAATGTTGTAACTAATTCATAGGGACCCCTTTTACTACAAAAATGGCTCTTTTTTCACTTAAAAAAGAATTGGAGAATATTAAGTGTTATAAATTCAACAAGAAAATGATCTGAGCATTGCTGTTCAATAACACCAATTTAAAATGTCCAGCGTGCAGTATTGTCCTTATTTTAACCTCATTTACTCAGTGTTTTGATTGCATCATACTGGGAATTGTTCCTTTATTAGAGATAATCCCCACCCCCTTTTTTGTATTTATAAAGAAGATCTGACCTTTAAAGAGGGGAGGGAGGTTGTTTCTTTTAGAAATTTCTGGTGTTTGTCTACCCTGATTTCCCTGGAAGGCTTTTTGGACAACTCAAAAATGAGTAGGATTGTAACAATTAGCAAGGAAGTAAAACTTGAGAAGTTGAAAGGGAAAGTGATTTTTATTCACACTCTTTAAAATTCTTTGTTGAACTTAATAGATGCTAACAATTGCAATGCCTGACAAACGATGTCAGGAGAGATCTCTTTATTAAAGATTCAACAGTTTGTCCCTTCAATTAAAAGCAGAGAAAGATCCCATTCTTTGTACACCTCTACCCTGATATAACGCGGTCCTTGGGAACCAAAAAATCTTACTGCGTTATATGTGAAACCATGTTATATCGAACTTGCTTTGGCCTCTAGCATTTCCGTTATTAATAGTCAGCACGGTCAGAGCAGCGTATCGGAGCCAGACACGCTGACGCGCTGATCCACCGGAGCACGCAGCCCCGCCCCCCAGAGCGCTGCTTTACCGCATTATATCTAAATTCGTGTTATATCAGGTCGCGTTATATTGGGGTAGAGGTGTATCTGGTCCCTCAAGAAGACCTCAAGCAAAATCAGGGAATACAATACTTGATGCTCTTGATATTTCTAAGGTAATCGCATAGGAAGGTAGTTTTTTGGAAAAGCTCTTTCAAGCTTTTGGTTTATATATATATATATATGTAAGTATAAAAATATAAATATATAAATAAAAAAAAGCCATGATTGCAATTGTTCCCCCTCTGCACACATCCTCTTCAAGTACCATCTGATTAGGAATCCAACTGGATTTTGTGCTTGTTTATTTTGTGTGCTGATTGGTTTCAAAGGCTTGCACTTAATGAAGCCAGACTTTCAAAAGCAAACTGTGGTCAGGATCCTGTTTGCAGATCTATAGAGCAGTTCTCTACTCTACTCTGCTTTGCCTTTGGGAGTTGTATGCATTCAGGGAGAGCAGAATATGCGTGTTGATATTGCTGTACTGATTGCTGTAAGCACAGAATTATTTTTCCTGTTCAATGACTAAACTTGAGAGTGATTTTCAAATAATGCTCGATGTAAAATATAGTTTGTTCACTGAGGATGTAATTTTTATGGTCAACCATTTCTTTAACGGGGTTACTGTAAATTAAATTGTTTTTGTGTGTTCTTCAACAGGCAGCCAGATAAACTAGTGGTGGTTTGGACAAGAAGAAGCCGAAGGAAATCTTCTAAGGTTAGTTGACTGCTTAGTAATACCCAACTTCAGTAAAAAGTGCAGTTGGCTGTTTGATTTATTAAGACAAAAATGGATGTTTATTTTATTCTTACTGAATTTGGCCCTAAAATGCTTCCTCTCTTACCGTTGAGACTAATTTATAGAAACATTTATAGAAAAAACTCCAGTGTCATCTTAGGTATGTATGTAGCACCAAGTACACAGCATGCAGCTTAATAATAATTAACAATTATAAGTTATTAATTTCTAGATCTAATCAGAAAGAAGAATCACTCTTAAAAGTAACAAAAACAAAAGTCTTAAACGTAATAAAAACATTAATAAGGAAGCTGCCACCTTTGCAATAGGAGGATATAAAGTAGGAGTAAGAGACTGTTTTTTCCACTACGCAGCCCTGGAAATCAGAAAGTTTCAAAGCAGATTCTTTCAGTTGGATATTGCATCTACAGACTGGGCCTCTGTTGGGAAATTACATTGACACTGAAATTGTCACAGGCATTACTAAACACTCCTGCTATTTCTTTGTGTATATTTTTATGTAGTAAATAATGTTTTCTAATCATGGGGTAAATCCTGTTCTCCCAGTTCCAAAAAATACTAACAAACAAATACACATGCGGGGGTAGCAAAACCCAAAAGTAGAACCACCACCTTGTTTGCACTACAAGAAGGCACAGGTAGTAGAGAGGGTTACTTCTACGCTTACGGCAGCCTGTAGAATACAGACAACACATGCCCAGCTAGCATAGGGTAGAAGTGTAGACGGTGAGGCATGGTGTAGGTTAGTCGAGTGTCATACGTGCCTGAACTCCCAGTGTATATATCCTACACATGGCCAAGCAGTGCCTTCCATGTCTATAGTGCTAATTTTAGCGTCTTTCTGCCTCCCCACTTGCTGGTGGGAGCTTTTCCTTGCTATGTGTGTGGCTACACACCGCAGTGACAAGTGTGGACACAGCCTGCCTTTCTCTGGGGCATGTAGCTACATGTGTATTGCCTGTATTCTATGCACTGCCATAAGTGTAAACGTAGTCATAATGAGAACTCTGTACCCCCTTGTGTGCCATGGTGTGACACACTGCCCCAGCTCGCCAAAAATTCCTACAGAGAGAACAGGAAAATATGAATGGTCCAGGGACATGGAAGTACAATGGCCAACGGGTCTGTGCGCTTCGCTGATTGAGTCACTCAAACCTCTACATGGCATGGGAGAAACACTGTGCTGTACTCAATACTCTTTTCTGTTGCCAATAGTTGCTGCTGCTTGCACAAGTGCCCTAACATCTACTTGCTGATTCCTTTTCCTCCCAAACATTGCCTATTTTCCTTTTACTCAGGGCCTTCTTATGGGACAAGGTCCTGTCCATAATAGGAAATTTCTAAAATTTATCATTAGATGTTGGATAATTATTTCAATTAAACAGAGAGGTCTCACTCCTCTTTGTGCATGGGTGTAACTCTGAATAACATTAATGGCAGCTCTATACGGATATAGAGGAGAACAGAGAAGCACGATTAGACACCTGAGATGGGGAAGGGCTTGTAGCTATTTAATTGTGGATTGATGTATATTTTAATTATATATACAATCAAAAAATGTTTTGAGCTCATGATGTTGTACAGCTCACCAGCCTATGGAATGGTGTTCTTTTTACTGTTACCCTCCCCTTAGCATCTCCATGCTTTCTGCTGTTTGTCACACATACTTGTGTCTTGTCTTAAACTAGGCTGTAAACTGTTCCAGATTTCCTTCTGTTTGTACAGTGCTTAGTACAATGAAGCCAGGATCCTGATTGGGACTTTGGATATTACCACAGTACAAAAAAATAATATCCCCTGTGCACATTCTAAATTTTGCTTTAGTTTCTGCATGGAAGTGTGACAAAAGATACTGTAGGACACTAAAATAAAACTCAAACATGTTTTTAAACAAAAAATGTCTTGTTAGATGGTAGGGTATTTAGGCACGATTGATTAGTTTGCTGGGTTAGAGATTATGTTCAAAGTCTTGTTTAGTGTACAAACAGATGCCATATCTGGAATTCAACAGGGCCAGATGCAGGGGTCTGCTCATGCATATGACATTGCAGGATTGGGGCCTTAGTTACTGAGGATTTTAATTTAATTGGTCTATCATTGGCCGTGGAGCATCAGTTTTCAGCTGAGCTTGCATCCCCCTAAACTACAGAATTTTTAGACACACCTGCTTGCTATGTCCAAAGTTTTGGTTATCCAGCATTATAAACAAACCTATCAATGTCAGCAGATAAAATAGTGGTTGATCTTTTTAAGACTAAGAATAGCCCTGTAGCAAATCATCAGAGGATGATTAAGGGGGCCTACACAGATATTTTTTTAAAGTGCCAAATGCCTGCAAGTACTGTACCTAGAATAAGACTTAACTTTTTTTTAAAGATTTTTATAGCTGACATGATTTTGCTTCATTCGAGATGTTTGTCTCCTAGACTATAGATTAATAAAGATTCCTAAACTCTTAGTCATCCTGCCAGTAAAATACATTACTATACATGTTGTTTGTTCATCTAATTGCTTTCTTGGAAATGAGTCAAATCAAGACTTTTTATTTTATTTTACACAGACACTGTGCCCAAGAAGTACCTAAGCATTAATCATATCCCAAGTGTTCCTATATTTTTTCATTTATTTGTGAGGCAGGGAAGAGACATCAGTTAAGTTTTCTCTGAGAAGAAATTTTTATCCCCCTGCAATCAATATAATGAAAATGGGGAAGAAGTCAGAAGACCCACCTTCCACCCCTAACAAATGACTGCAGCCCATAAAAATTTAACTCAAACATAAAGATAACAGTTGTGTAACTTGTGAATTTAACTAATGTAATATTAAGGTGTTGGTGCCATTTGCCCCAAATACATTCTTACTAAGGAAACTACAAATATTACTTCAGCTTTGAGAAAGAACGTGAGACCTCATCCACTGCCCTTTTTTTTTATTTAATACCTTATTGGGAGATGAGTAAGTTAATAATTATTATGGAGGACTGGTAATGACTCCATAGTTAAGATTGCATAAAAATGTTAGGTTGTAACAGGTTTTGCTAAATGGTGCACCCAAATTACAATAGCCATATTGAAAACAACATGCTAACGGAGATCATTATCCAAAGGATGGTATGTATGATGGGTAGATATCATGCCAGCATGACATCATCTAATAGTTATCAACTCTAATTCAAATTTAAATAATTTAGAGCCCTGTTTTGGAATTCCCTGCCCTTGGGCTAGTCTGAATTTAGATACAGTTACACAAACATGTCAAAACATGACTTGTTTGTGTAACTGGGCAATTCTGACTTGTGGGACTGGTATTTACAACACATGATGATAATCGAAAGCCTTGCTAAATTTGGCAGAATTTCTGAGCAAGTCTTAAGACTGGGCTGACCTTTTTCTTTCAGACCCTCCACCCCCCCACAAAACACGTACATTTGTGCCTAACAAATTGACCTTTGTCTTTCTTTAAAATCAAGAACACATACCTTATTGCATCTTTCCAAGCCTACTTTGTGCAAACGTACAATTATATTACAAAATTTACATTATTCTAGGCAGAGCTATAAAGTTAAGGTTGCTGAACACGTTCAATTTTTTCGGTTGCTTATAATAATACAGTTCAATATAGTGTAATTTCTGTTTTTTCAATTTTTTTTTTCAAACTTAGGAAAAAAACTACTTTGAAAGATAGTTATTTAGCTTGCAAAGTCAAGCACTCAAAAGCTAGGAAGAGCCAGAATTAAAGTTGCCTGTTCAAGCTCAATTCATCCCCTTTGTGTGCATGCATTATGACAGTCTTTAATTACATGATCACAAACTATTTTACTACAAGATCCCTCCTCATTAAAGTGCACAGGATGGACAGTGCTCAGGGAATGACAGTAGAAGGTGTGTACTGTGGTTAAGGCAGCTGAATGCCATCTTGGAGATTTGGAGTCTATCCCTTCCTCTCCCATATAATTTGTACATGATGCTAGGCATGTCATATACACCAGTTTTTCACACGGGGCCACTAACTGTGTTCCTCATTTTCTGGGTACCCAACCTGAGACATCTGGAGCCTGATTCGCAGAAGTCCTAGGCACTTGCGGTTGCAACTGAAATCAATGGGAGCTGTTCTTCGAACATATAAAGTGCTGTACAAATGTTAGTGCTCTGAAAAATCAGCTCCTAGGTATCTCAAGTTGGGCACCCAAAATTAGTGGACACTTTAAGTCATCTGTTCGGGATTCCTCTGGTGTGTGGAAGCCCTCAACAGGCACGCAGCTACCAAGCCAGCTCCTGTGCCTCCCTTCCCACAGCCCCTGGTTCAAGGGGCCATGTTTGGACCAGGAAGGTGAAATGGCTGGACTGTGCTGTACTCTAGCTATCCCCAGATAGTATATTGCTCGTATGGAACTGTTGCTAGCTGGAGCAAGTTAGAGCACTGCTCAGGCTGCTCTAAGCTGCATTGGTGTTGGAGCAGAGAATCAGGATGCTATAATTGGTTGCTGGATCTCCGCTTCTCTCTTTCTCCCTCTCCTGAGGTGCCCTTGATGACACTGGAGAAGGGGAGCCCTTAGGTAAGAACAGCTCCCCTAAGCTCAGTCAGAGCCAGTCAGGCTCCTTCCCTGGTCTCCTGGGGCTTTCTACAGCCTGGCAGAGAAGTAAGCAATGGAGCAGCTAGTGCTGTTCTCTTCTCCCTCCTTTGCAGTGCATTAGGCAGCCAGCAAGGTGCAGCAGAGCAGGAAAAGCAGCTGCTGAGAGCATTGCTGGCTCCCGTTAGGGGTGCTCTTGGAACTGCAGCAGAAGTGGTGAGAGACGTTTGGGAAGAAGATGGTGTTGGCGCTGAACTAAACACTTGCATTTAAACATCGCAGGGCAGGGCTTGTGGAACGTCTTCTCAATTCATGATCAAATGTAAATTTGCTCTCTCATTTGCTATAATTAGAGTCTCAAAGGCCACAAGTTGGACGCTACTGTTCTAAAAGTATCTGCTTTTCTTTCTTCCTTCAAAACTTCACTGATGAAGAGCTACCCAGTGGTGTTTAGTGACCTTATGTATGAGACCAGCATTCCTGCTTTTTCACCTTCTTAAAATCTGTTGTTGTTTTTTCCATTTGGCCTTATGACGATTGATGTATCTAATGCACCCTAACCTTGGTGTCTGAGCAGAAATCGATCTGAAGGACTGTAATCTCCATCCTGTCTTGTATTACATTAGGACATGTCTAGTTGTTTTTGTTTTGGTTTGGGGTTTTATTTAAGTAAGAGATGTGTACCAGTTAAAATGCTGGGCAGGGTTCTAAATGCGACTGTGTCACAGCGAAGTGATGCTAGTGAATTTTTAGGTTGCGATTTTGGAAAGGGTTTTTCATTTTGCTCCAAAGGTGATACCTTCTGTGGCCATCCTGATACCTGGCAAGGTTTCCAAAGTAGAGGGCCTGCCCCTAAGAAAGCTGGCAGGGTTCTTGTTCATTGCATCTGTCATGTTTGATTTCAGGGAGAGTGGTAGTCACGGAAATAGCAGGGTCCGGCACATGGAGGGTAATTGTCAGGGGAGCCAGTATAGTATATGGAGCACTTAAGTGGTGTGCTCTCATCCTCCTGTGTTGCTTAATAATTGGGCTACTACATTTGGAGCCAGTCGGAGCTTCAATCTTCTCTTTCATCTCCAGGTGCAGAGCATTGCAGCAAAGCACAAGTGCATGTTACTTTTTCACCCTAGAGCTTGCAATGTTCCCCTGCACCAGTCACTAGTAAATAAGAAATTAGCTTATTTTTGCCCACAACGTGACCATTTGCTCAAATATTTCTCTTACCTGTTCTGCAAAACCAGTACATTCCTATGTGCTATATATGGAGTGTCTGTTTTGTGTTGATAATGATGAAATTATTTAATAAGTGTTGAGACTTGCACAGATCTGTTATGGTCAAAACAGGCGATTCCCTGTAACTACACCTCTACTCCGATATAACGCGACCCGATACAACACGCATTCGAATATAACGCAGTAAAGCCGTGCTCCGGGGGGGTGGGGCTGCGCACTCCGGCGGATCAAAGCAAGTTCGATATAACACAGTTTCACCTATAACGCGGTAAGATTTTTTGGCTCCCGAGGACAGCGTTATATCGAGGTAGAGGTGTATATCTGAAATATGGACAACAGATCAGATATTTTCCAAGGGCAATCCACTAATTGAGCACAACATCTAGGCCCCCAGCAGGTTATGTATGCATTCAAGTGATAGATCTCTTACAGAGGAATATCTTAATTATCCCGCCCTGTAAATTGATAGTTTTCAAGCTGTCCTTAAAGAAGGCAAAAACCAAAACCCACCAAGCCTTACAGTCTGTGCTCAAACACTGCATCATTACGATGCATCCATTTGTGTATTTGTCACGATAATGCAACTTTGCAAAAATAAATGTATGTATAAAGCAGGTAATTCCTACAATAAGCATTATAAACGTAAATAATGAGAACAGTCATGAAAGAACTCCAAAGGCCAGGAGATCCTAAAATGCTTATCTGAACCTGTGGAGCCCACCACCAGTCTTTTCTCACACATTACAGTCCCCCACCCCAATTGTTCATCTGTCTACCAGTACAGTTTTCTAGGAGTGGGGTGATGTGAGGCATGTTGCCATTTCTAGCATCTTTGTGGCATATTTCACCAATCTTTCCCCTCCTCCCGGGTGTTTCTTCATTTAAAGTGCCCCGGGTGTTGCAGCGAGGGTGACCAGACCGCAAATGTGAAAAATCGGGTTGGAGGGCAATAAGCGCCTATGTAAGAAAAAGACCCAAAAATCGGGACTGTCCCTATAAAATTGGGACATCTGGTCACCCTAGTTGCAGCTTCTCCTCACTTCCTCTCTGCGGGGTTGGTGCTTTTTCCTCTGTACTCCTTCCTGAAAAGGCTCCTGCTGCCGGTGATTGGATAGTGAATGAGGCAGCCAATAATAGAGGTCGCTGTATACAGGCTGCTGCTCTCTCCCTAGCCTGAGGAGGCAGGTGGTGGTAGGAGGGATGATGAAGACAGGGAGTGAGGCAGCCAGTGGCAGTGTTTGTGTCCATCCAGGCTGCATCAGAGCCAGGGCAACAGAGAAGCAGTGAAAGATGCAGAAAGGGAAGGAGGCTGTGTAGGGGAGGAGGAAAAAGAGTCTGGAAGGCACAGTATAGTGGGAACTGTGGCCCGAGGTGATAATTGCAGAGGAAACATAATGTTCAGGCCTAGAGAGAGACAGCTGGTCAGGATCCAGAACATGGGGACAGTGAGTAATATTGGGATTGTTGGCATGTTTACAGCGTGTAGGTGGCAAAATCTTGCCCATTTGCCAAAGCAAAGGCCTATGTTTTGGATGATTGATTAAAATATAGTCAGTATAGCTGTATGCCTACATGATGAGTCTGTAACGGTACAACCCCCCCCTCCAACCCCAAAAGACCCCCTCGATATAGGGACTCTTGGTCTGAGAAAAAACATTATGTTGTATTACTCTTAATGATAATTTTAAGTGCTCAAAGTATTCTCTATTAACTAATAGGCCTCCCCCTATTTTGCACCCCTTGCTTTCTCCTGCACCAACCCAGGGGCTTAAATTTGAGGTTATCCTTGCCTGTCATATTGCCTGGGTGGTGCAGTCCTATATTCCAAAGCCAAATGGCCATATAACATCATCCAGCTAATAAGGGGATAGTTTTGCTTTAAAAGCTCATTAGGTAGGACTTTCAGTCTCCCACTCTCTGCTGTTGATAACATGCATGTCAGGTAACAGTAATGCATGTTGATTTGTTTTAGGATTCTCCATTTTTTACTGGTTCACCAACTAGTCTAATGAGGAGAGGAGACTGGTAAATCCCCCTATACCCAGAATTCTGCTGCATCATAGAATGCTTGTTTATGATTGTATGTACAAAATGTTTTTACAGTATAAAAATGGGAGCAGTATTGCCAACCCCAAGTGTTCAAAAAAACATGGGTCAGGCCCAAAAAATCATGAGGTTGACTTAAAATTTATGGGATTTAAAAACAAACAAACCTATTGGGTTCATTTTATTTGCCGTCTGGTTTCTCGGCCTTGAGGGTGCAGCTGGGACACAGTTTCAAGCATGACTTTGCAACCATGAGGGCAAGAAACTTCCTTTTTTAAATGAAAGCTGAGATTTTCACCTAACCAGATACCTGCAGTACCTGGGGCTTTCAGAAAAACACCAAATATCACGAGACTTGGGATACAACTGTAAACATCAGCAACTCTGTAGGAGTGAATGAAAATAACAGGACAACAATAAGAATGTTATAAATATATCTGCAAAGATAAATGGCTCTGGGCAGCATGGAAAACAAGCTGGATCCTACCAATGGCTCCCTGCAGGACTTTACTCTTAGATACTCCCTCCATCGCTCCCTCAATCTCTTGACCTTCTCTCCCACACCCTACTACAAGCTGCTGCCACTTCTCTTGCGGCTCCACAGGGCAGGGAATCAACAGAGGGAATAGAGCCAGAAGGCAGATAGACTGCCTGTAGCAGTGGCAACTTAGTGGCCTCTGGTGGCCTAAAGGAACTATTACAGTTCCTTCTGATAACGAAGCTGGATGTGTGAGGATCTATGTAGGCTGCAGGAATGCGTGACGGGGCTGCCAAGTGTGTGAGATGAAGCACTGTTTATAATGCACAACAGTGGTGAATTAGTTTCCTTCTCCTACTAAATGAGGATGCTTTTCAATCACTATCTTTCCCACCAGGGTGTATTGAATTCTGTAGTTAAAATTGGCCATTGAGAAGCTGGCTAAATTTGAGGTGGGGTATCTGCGCTAAATTTTAACCCAGAAGAGACCTTTTAAAACTCTCTTGAAAATTATAGTTTGCTGACATGGCCGACGGGACTGTGCCACCATAACAACAATTCATTGCTACAAAACCAATGTGTACTCTTAGGAACACCATCCTATCTCCAAATGTGTTATAACCAGGGTAATTATACTTGAGTTTAATGTACCTGGGATCCAAGTTATATTAGCCTTATGCTAGTAATAGTGTTATAAAAATCATACACTGAAGTGCTGGATGTGGCAAAGAACATATAACTAAAATGAACAATGTTTGATACCATAGAATTTAAAAACTCAGTTAATTTGATGCAAATAACAATCATTTATAATGTTCTCAAAATAAGAAAAACAGGTAGTTAGAAACAGCCACCCCCTTATATTAGCGTATATTCATTTATATTTCCATAGTTCTCTAAAGTTTTCCTCCATACTAACTGAACCAGATTCTGAAATTCGCACTTCATGGTGTTCACTGTTTTAGTGGAAAGTATGCAGCTCCACAGGTTGGAATGATTTGCTCAGGTCTTTTAGAGTTAATCTCTTTTTACTTCATTTTATCCTGGTCACTTCACTTTTAGTTATAGGTACTTAAATGTTAATTCTTTATAGGTTTAAATGTTTGAGGCATTTAGTCTGTACTATAAATTGGTGCTTTATTTTTTTCAAATAAAACAAAAAGAAATCAGTTTTATTAAAATCTGAATATGGCTACTGAGCATGCACAATAGCTACTCTTAATTATTTGCTTTAAAGGAAAACATTCCATAGTCTGAAACATATGCCAAAGGTCTGTATACACCATTTTATGAACTTGTACCTGCAGGGTGCTCAATGTTCTGGCCCTGATGTAGGCATTGTGCTTAATTGCTTTGCAAGATCAGGACCAGAGCACTCAGCACCTGGCTAGAGTGAGCCTTGTGTGACTGCGTAACCCCCATCAATGGTGCGAGTTCCTTCTGTTCTCAGTGGTTTGTCTTACTGTGTTTAATAGAATCGTAAATTTAGGAAAGCGGGGTTTTTTGGAGCTAATCATCAGTACACGCATGCATGCACACGCTGACTTCCAGGGGAGTTGGAGCAGGCCTTTTATGACGGACTGACTCAATTATTGTTTCTTTTCTTCTTCTAGGCCCATAGCTGGCAACCTGGAATCAAAAATCCATACCGTGGTGTGGTGGTGTGGCCTGTTCCTGAAAACATTGAAATCACTGTGACACTTTTTAAGGTAGGTTTTTAATGTTTCATTTGAACTCATTTTATAAGGCATAAGATAATATTTCCTGAAAACTTACACACACAAACACCTTCTGTCATAGGGCCTGATCCTGCAGTTCTTGTCAAGTCATTAGCTGCATACCTACAAGTTCACAGTTTAAGTATGAGAGAGAATTAAGACCCCTTGCAAACACTTAGCCATGTTCTTAACTTACCAACACACTCAAATAGTCCCATTGAACTCCTCAGGGCTGCTTGCGTCTATAAAATTGAGTACATGCTTATGTGTTTTCAGAATGTCAGTCTAACTTTCCATACAACTGAAATACAGAGTAGTCAGTTTTGCCTAAAAACACTAAGTTGGTAGGAGTCAAAACAATTTGTGTCTTGACTGTGGGCTGTATCGTTGCAGTCATCGTTTTCCTCATTACATTTGTTCTGAAACAGAATCTATCTCCAAATATTACAGCATTTCAATTATGTTATAAAAATGTCACAGTTCTTGTTTAATTGCTACCTTAGGAATTGCTGGAAAACAAAACTACATTGATGGGCAACATATGAATAAGAGAGAGAATTTTAGGTCTTTCTGTGGTCTGATTAAAGAAATGCCATTTGTTCTAGTATTTCAAAATGGTTTTATTACAGTGAATCTGTGTTCTTACCAGTTTTTGTACATTTAGTCCCAATTCTTATTTACACTGAGGCCTCTGTATGGTGCTTTTGGCAGCAGGGCCAGCCCTCAATCAGATGGCGCCCCAGGAGAAGCATCTTTAACAAACGGAGGGGGGGCGCCAAACTTTTGAATATCTTATTTTTTATTGCATTTCATGACTTTGATGCATGATTTATCCCTATCATATCCCTGTCATATAAGATGGAAAATTTGCATGCTAGGATCTGTAAATCTGTATTTATTCATGCTATATATAAGCAAATAAAAAAAAATCATTTCCTATAAGCTTATAGAAACTTTTTAATTTTAAGAATAACTGAAATGTACTAACATGAAGAAACTGAACGGTACACCAACATTGGGTGGACCAGTATTAAATAGTGTTACAGTAGGTGACAGCTTTAAAATATTAACCCTAGACCTTTAGTTCCAAAAGTTGCTTTTCTTGCCTTTGCCCTCGCAAACTGAAGCACAACGTCAAGGAGGTCCAAAGACTGACCAGTGGCATTTTCAAGCCATTTTGACCATCGTTGATCGAAGATATGTTTTAATGAGCCTGAGCTTCAAAAAGCTGCGCTCACCATCCACAGTTGTGACTGGCAGTGTGAGCAGAATCCTCAAAGCTATAGACACATTAGGAAAAGTGTCCTTCAGCTCTACATCATGAATGTATTGTAGAACTTGGAGTGGAGAGTGCTTCCTCTGTCGCAAAACGTGATGGATGTTGTCCAATTCGACATAGATGTCTTTTATCATTGATGTCTGAACAGTCCCCATGTGTCAGCATCTGGTGCAGGTCCATCTAATTGCTCAAGAGTGTCTTCCTGTCCGCCAGCAGCTTACTACGGTCATACAAAAACCCCAGGTCTTTTCGTGGTGCTTCATTCGTCCAAACTTTTTTTCAATGGACACTTGAGCAGTGTCAATGATCGAGCAAAAAAAAAGTCTCAATTGAATTTTCTTCCAATCTTTCCATCACCTCATCTCTGCCCTCATAACCAAACTGTCTCTTCTTCCAATGAATACGAGTTTCCTTGAAGATGAGTTCAACTCCTAAGTTGTCCCCCCCCCCCCCTTTTTTTTTTTTTTTTTTTTTTACAGCAATGATGGCATCTTCAAATCCATTCTCTCTGTAGGCCACAATGAAATCAAGGCAGCTTCTCATTAAAATAGTAGTGTTTGCTATGTCCATTGACTGAGTTTCTAATGCAGTGCTTACAGTGTTTACTTGGAATAGGATATTGTGCCAAATCATAATTTAGATCAGAAGTTTGAAGTCAGTGATCTGTTTTGCCAGGCTTTAAACCTCGTGTCGGATTCCGGCCTCAGCTTTACTTGACTGCACCAGTTCCATCAGAGCATTGTAAACCTCAGTCACTTGGTACCTTACTGGCCTAATGCTGTCAGTGTGGCTCTGCCAGCGAGTGTCACTTAGTGGCTTCATGGTCAGATTTGTAGAATTGTCCATGGGGATCTTCCACCTGATAGTTTATGCAGAAAACAGGACGTATATCCTTTGCAGTACTTTGAAGAGAGATACTGAATCTAAAGAAGATGACGCTGCATCTGACACAACCAGGTTGAGGGAATGGTAGTCACAAGGCAGGAATAAAGCTCTTGGATTCAGCGCAAGGATCCTTGCATGGATGCCACTATTTCTTCCCTTCGTGTTCGCACCGTTGTTGTAGCCTTGGCTGCAGCAATCCTGAAGGTTTATTTTATTCTCATTCAAAACATTCATAACAGTTCCGTTAGACCTTTTCCAGTAGAGTCATCCACAGACCGGAAACAGAGTATGTGTCTATTTGGATACAGCCATCCTCGTCGTCGTCAAATCTTATTGTAAATGACATCTTTTTCACTGTGACTAATGTTAGGAGTGCAGTCTGTTATTACAGCGCAGTACTTCGCGTTGCCAAGCTGTATCAATATGTTATCAAGCACCTTCCTTGCCATAAGGTCAGTCATTTCATTTTGAATTGTTTTGCTGCAGAAATGGTCCATAGCTTCTTTACGAACTACTCGCTGTAGGTGCTCATGCATGACCTCATCGTATTTCCCAAGGATCTCTACCAAACCAAGGTAATTACCGTTATGTTCAGTGAGCAACTTATCCGAGGAGCCCCAGAGAGCCAAATTATTTTTGCAAGGAAGAGGGTAATTGAGGTCAGATGCTCGAGCACATTCCTGCAATGCTGGGTTTCTACATTAATAATGTGCTGGTTTTCTGCACCTGTGCATTTATTCTGCTTGAGTCTGGACTCGACCTCCATCTATTTGGAGTGGGCCATAAAATGACTGGGCGACTTTTCATTTTGCTTCAGAGCATCAGCTAAGTTATGCCAGTAATTGTACCCGGATAATGCAAGCAACGATTGGGCATTCTTGTCAAATATCTTGCAACAAAAACAGAACACTGTGTCAGTTGATTATGAGCAAACTAGCCAACGCCAATTCAGTTTCTCGAGCACTCTTTCACAGTGTGACTTTGAAAAGAGTCGCGTCTGCTCATTTACTAGAAATGTCATAGGCTCGATTTTGCACAGCCCATTCAAAATTGTTTGTTCAATATCGTCAGAGTTTAGGATCGCCAGCCATAAAGCAGGATCTGATGTAGCAATTTGTGGTATGCAGTTTTTCTCACTGCTGTTTCTGTCATCATGCGAAACGGATTCTTCTTTATCGTTTCTCTCCTTTTCATGTAAACTAGATTTTTCTTTGTCATTACTCTCCTTTTTATGTGAGCCACATTCTTCTTTATCATCAGGTTCCTTTACATCACCAGGAAAATTGGACAATTCTCCATTACTTTCCTCACATTTCCATTCCTTATCTTCAGGTAAATCTGTTAATTCCTTAATAATAGGACTTCCATCATTTACGCTTTGCACCTCAATTTCTTCTGCACTGGTAGGATCGCTACTGCCTAAAGCCCGGTCTGTGTTGTCCTGTTTCAGATATTTTCCCATCAAATTTGCTCTTTGCTGCAAACTAGATTGCAGTTGAGCTTTTCACTTCGTATACTGAGCTGCTGAAGGCTGTTTTCTGTGGCATCTTTTATTTTCTACAGGGGAAGAGACCGTATTAGGGAGAGCAAAAGTCTATGTTCCTCAGTCTTAGAAAGTCATCAAACATGTGTTAAGCATGGCAAAAGAAGTAACAGTATTCTTTTATATTGTTGCTTAGATACAGGTTTGATAGATATCTCTGGCATCTCATTAAGTATGTCCTTTATTAGTCATTACTTACACTCTTAAACACACAAGTACACTTTCACAATTACACAATAAAACAAGGTTCACAATATCGCAGCTGGGCTCTCACTTCACTTAGTTCTTATATCTCACTCAGTAACTGGTAACACCCTGCCCCTTGTATACCCATGAGGGCATGACTGAAAACATTCTAGGAGGTTCAAGGAAAATGTAATTCCCAGAAAGTCTGGAAGGTTCCATGAAATTCTACAAAGGTCCAGAACGTTCTAGGAGGTTAGTGAAACGTTTTACTTCAAACATTCTATTAACAACAAAAACAGCACCCCAAGCCCGGCACCCCCCAGGCCTGGCACCCCAGGTGGTCGCCTGGTTCGACTGCCCTTAAATCTGGCCCTGTCTGGCAGTGTAAAGTCATCTTAAAGTGAGTGTAAATAACAGTTATACCCATTTCAATGCCCTCCTGCACTGCCAGAGTACTAATAGTATAAGTGAGAATCACGACTTTTAAACTTCAGATATATTGACTTGATCCCTGTTACTTGACTTTATATTTGCTTACTGATAAAAAAAAAAAATTAAACCTTGTCCTATGCCTAAAAGCGCTAAACATAAATTTTATGCCAAAGAAAACAGCACCCTTACTACAGGGACAGTGTAATCCTGGTCTCACCTGCCAGGAAGGAGAGGGCATAGTTTAGGGTTGCCATTCATCCAGATTTTCCCGGACATGTCCAGCATTTTGGTCCTCAAATTCCCGTCCGGGAGGAATTTCCAAAAAGCAGGACATGTCCGGGAAAATAGGGAGGCATGGTAAGGGGATCGCCTCCTCCCCGGGCTCCAACTTTCCGGGGCCAGGCGGCGGCTGTTTGTTCTCCCCACCTGGGCAGCCGGACTCGGGAGCAGCCGCTGCTGCAGCTCCCACTGCCGCAGGGGGAAGCGGCCAAGCATGTGGCGCTCCGCGGCTGCGGCTCTGGCGCCCGGGGCGTGAACCCCCTGAGCGGGGACCCTGCTGGTGCAATCCCACGGGCGGCCCCGGAGTGGGGGCAGCAGTCCCCAGCCTCCCCCCCCCCCCCCCGGTCCCGCAGGGGAATGAACGGGGCTGCTGATGCCTCCACCCCG